AGTGTGATCTCACTTGTGTCTTAGGATACATTTATTTCTATGACCCTAAGGTACTTCCATACCAAAGGAGACCTTTGCATCATGACTTGAAGTCAAAGATTTTTTGGGCCTAACCTCCCTACTATATAGCAAATGGTTAACCCTCAGGTGCTCTTCGTTTCGGAGTCACACTTGTTATCTTCCCGGTCAAAAGTGACCGAACACCTAAAAATGAAACTTTCTCCATCCCAGTAAAACCAATGCAATTTATTTTTGTTTTATAATATTTATTCTTTTTAATTTAGTATTTTGAGACAATTTAATTGAATTTATTAATATTTATGCAATATTTATGGTTTATTTTTGCCATGGAATGCAGTATTAATGCAGTATTTTAGTTTAATATAGAGTCTAGGCCTTCAGAAAAAATTTTTTTTTGAAGAAAATTAGCACCATCTGGTTACAGTATAGAGAAAAAGCATAGAATCATAGTGTAACCACTAGATGACATATGTTTTTTTGGATTTGTGGATTTGTATATATAGTTGAAACAATCTCAAAAACTATTTCTTAGAAAAAATGACAAAAAACAAATATTCACAATTTTATTTTCTTTTTTTTTTTTTTTTACAATTTCCCATTCATTTCCTATGGGGTCATTTTTTGACCAAAGACCACAAGTGTGACTATTTTTTTTAAGACCACTTAGCATGCTCAGATCATGACCTCAATTTTTTTATGTGTTCACATACATAATGCCATAAAGGTCACCAAGTTTCGTAACATCGCAATGAAGCTGTGATTTTTAAAAATTCAAAACATACTTTTTGTAATCAAAATTTATTGGTGTGTATGTGTATAAAAGTGTGTTTGTATGGGTGTGTGTGTTGGTGGGTGTGTCTGTTTTGCACTCTGCAGTCATGGTCAAAATTAATGGCACCCCTGGTAAATATGATGAAAACTGGCTGTAAAAAATAATTCTGGATTGTTTATCCTTTTGATCTTCCATTCAAAAAATTGGCAAAATTCTAACCTTTCATTGAAGCAAAAGAATTGAAAGTGGGGGTAAATCACACTATGAAATAAATGTTTTTCTCCAAAACACTCTGGCCATAATTGTTGGCACCCCTAGAATTTTTTTTATGAGAAAAATATCTCTGAAGTACATTCCCATTAATATTTATTTTTTTAAGCACATCAGGATGACTAGGAACATGAAATTGTCCAGCTATGACTTCTTGTTTCAAGGAGTTTAAATATTAGGAAGCACAAAGGTCAAATTCCCTGAATCATCCATCACAATGAATAAAACCAAAGAACATGGTTCTGATGTGCATCAAAAGATTGTTGAGCTTCACAAAATAGAAAGTGGATGTAAGAAAATAGCTAAAGAATTGAAAATTCCCATTTTGACCATTTGACCAACTAAAGATGTTATGATTCTGCCAGGAAGAGGACGTGTGTCTATTTTGCCTTAATGGATGGTGAGGATGAAAGTTTGAGTGTCCAAAGACTCTTCAAGGATCACAGATGGAGAATTGCAGAGATTACTTGAGTCTTGGGGTCAGAAAACCTAAAATAAAAAATATCAAACAACCCCTACATCCCCACATGTTGTTTGAGAGGGTTTCAAGAAAAATGCTCCTCACTCATCCAAAAACAAACTCCAGTATATTCAGGTGTCAGACACGACTGGATCTTCAAAAGAGACCGGATTCTATGGTCAGATGAAACTAAAATAGGGGCTTTTTGGCAGCAAACCCAGCAGATGTGTTTGGTGCAAACAGGGATGAAGAGTACCCCATGCCTACGGTTAAATATACTTCTGGATCTTGTATGTTGTGGGCCTATTTATTTGCTGGAGGTCCTGGACATCTTGTTCAGATACATGGTGTTATGGATTCTATCAAATACAAAGAGATAAAAAATAAAAACCTGACGCCTTCTGCTAGAAATCTTATAATGGGCCGTGGTTGGATTTTCCATCAGGACAACGATCCAAAACAAAAATCAAAATCAACACAAAAATTAGTTACGGAGCACAAAATGAAGCTTCTGCCATGACCGTCCCAGACCCTGACCTGATGAGTGGAGTGAACTGAAGAGATGAAGCACCAACATGGATCTGGGAATCTGCAGGATCTGGAGAGAGCCTGTATGGAGGAATGGTCTCTGATCTCTGATCAGGTGTTCTCCAAACTCATCAGGAATTATAGGAGAAGACTCAGATCTGTTATCTTGGCAAAAGGAGGTTGCAAAAAGTTTTTAGTAACAAGGTGCCAATAATTATGGCCAGAGTGTTTTGGAGAAAAACATAGTGTGATTTACCCCCACTTTCAATTTTTTGACTTCAATGAAAGGTTATAATTTTGCCAATTTTTTTGAATTGAAGATCAAAAGGATAAACAATGCAGAATTATTTTTTACAGCCAGTTTTCATCATATTTACCAGGGGTGCCATTAATTTTGACCATGACTGTAGATGTTGTAGAGTGTCACCCCTTTCCTGTGGTGTACTTTTTCTTTAGAATTGTGGCCGATTTGTAGATTGTAAATACAAAAATTCAGAGAATTTTTTTTGGTCAATTTCCCATTCATTTCCTATAGGTCGTCATTTTTGACAGAAGAGCAAAAGTGTGACTAATTTTTTTACGACCACTTAAATTGCTGGAATCATGACCTCAATTTTTTTGTGTGTTCACATACCCAATGCCATAAAAGTCACCAAGTTTTGTAATTTTCTGAAGAAGCTGTGATTTTTAAATATTCAAAACAGATTTCTTTAATCACAATTTATTGGTGTTTTTGTGTATAAAAGTGTGTGTGTATGTGTGTGTGTAGGGGTGGGTATGTCTGTTTTGCACTCTTGATGTTTTAGAGTGTCACTCCTTCAATGCTGAGCACTTTTTTTCTGCATCGTGGCCAATTTGTAGATTGTACACACAAAAATTCTCAAAGTTTTTGTGTTTTTGTCAATTTCCTATTCATTTCCTGTCAGTCATTTTTGACCGAAGAGCACAAGTGTGACTATTTTTTTACGACCACTTAGCCTGCTCGGATCATGACCTCAATTTTTTTTTGTTCACATACCCAATGCCATAAAAGTCACCAAGTTTTGTAACATTCCGATGAAGCTGTGATTTTTAAAATTTCAAAACAGAAAATTTTTTGTTTTGACCAAAGAGCACCTGAGGGTTAATGGGATAAAAGTTCGTATTACATGCGCTTGCCAGAACGACATTATGCCAGTAGGATTGCTGTAGGATTGAACCCAAGTGTCTCTTTGGGGCTTCTGTACTGTAAATGGAAATGCAAAATGTTGTAGGATCGTGTTTATCAAATTTTCATAGTACATACAGAATTATAATGCATCTAATACAATACACTTTATCTTTGATTCAGACTCAACCAAACACTCTTGCAAGTAGAATACAGAAATATGTTACTATTATTTTAAGGTGTCCTTGTTAAAGTGTAATTATAGCATTAAGTGCAGAGTAATATTAATTAACATAAGGTTAGGGTTTGGTTTAGTAATGAGTAACATTACATGAGTAACAAGGACAATAAAATAAAGTGTTACCAGAATTATCAACAGACTTCAATTGATTTATCACTAAATTTACACAAACACACACACACACACACACACACACACACACACACACACACACACACACATATATATATATATATATATATATATACACATACACACACACACATATATATATATACTGTATATACACACACACACACACACACACATATATATATATATATATATATATATAACAATAAAAACAAAAAAAGTAATAAGCAGTGAAGGGACACAGCCTTTTAATAGCATTTGAAGTGAAAAATGTACACTTGGTTATTAAAATCATCTTGTTTTCTCTTAACCAGCAGCACAAGAAAACCTAAAACATGCAATGTCTTTAATCAGGAATTAACAAAGCTATTATTTTGTTTTGATGAAGATTAATTTAATACATTAAAAATGGCATTTTCAAAAAAACAAAACAAAAAAAAACAAAAAAAAAAAAAACATGCTAACCATTAAAAAAATTATACATTATACATTTTTTTATATATATATCTCCCCTCCAAAAAAAAAAAAAAAAAACCCTGCAATCTAATAGGAAAAATGTATCCTCATCTCAAATGCTTATTGAAGTTATTGAAGTTCTCTACAATTGCCCAAAAAATATAAAATATATACTAGTCATGGCCCAGCTCAAAAAAAAAAAAAAAAAAAAAAAAACAGAAAAGAAAAAAAAACAAATTACAACCTTCAACCCTCGCCATCCATTTGTAATAGTTAAAGCACTCAACTTTATGTTTCCTCTGTAAAAGAAAAAAGAGAGACAGTTTTAATTGGGAATGCTTAAACGATAAAAACATACAGCCAGTATTTTTGTATCAACATTTTAATGGAATGCACGTTTGCTTTAAAAATCCTGACGTACAAAGTGAGGGGGTTTGAAACGGTTTACCTACTGAAGAATAACTTACAAACAGCACGACTGCATGTGAATAAGATGGACAACTATCTACAAAAATTAAATACAATGCTACAGCACATTAATAGATTTATAAAGGTTCATAAAAGGCAAATATTAACATGTGGCAAGATGGAACTCCACTAAGTTCATATGATCAATAATGTCTCCTCTCTCTTCATGGAAGCTTCTTGCATTAGTCTGAATCCAATGTTATTATCTATGAAAGACATCAAATGTACCAGGGTTCGAATATTAAACTTCCCACTATTTTATATTATATATTTACCAGGTTTGTAAATAATCAGGAAATAGTTCAACCAAAACTCGTTTCTCATCATGACTATTTTCATCAGTTAAACACACACTGCAGAATCTATGCTGCCATTTTCCATAAAATAAGGAGTATGTAAAAGAGCAGCAGGGACATTCTGTAAAATCTTTCGTTATATGTTCCATTGAGAAAAAGTTATACGGGTTTGAAATGACATGAGGACGAGTGAATGGTGATGAAATTAGCTTTTTAAAAACAAACCGGAAAGGAGTATCAAATCCTCTATGTATGACGAAGAATGGGGACCACTGAGCAAAAAATCTGTCAAATCTCATACTTAGTTGTCCAAATATATTAAAATTTGCCAGTGTAGAAGCTCTCAACAGCATTTCTCAAAGGCCCAAACGCTTAAAGGCATCGTTACAGTTTCAATGTCGATCAAAAGTTTCAACAGGCTTGGCTTTTTCTTACTCAGAAAAAGCAAAAGAGAAAAAAAGAAAAGAAAAAAAACCTCAACCCCCGTTACGCACCATTCTTCATCAATAACTTTAATTTCAGGAAGGGGAATTTTAACTAGCAAAGGTTTTCGCAGTCTCTTCCTTGCCTCTGTAAGTCCTCTTCCCATGTGTGAAGGGCAGGTATCTATACTTGATCATGTGCTGTAGAGGAAACACAAACAGAGTCAAAACCTCAAGTTAACAACAGTTTAGTAGATTACATCACTGAAACTCTAATTTTAGAGAACATTGCTTTTAACAGCTCAGCTATATGAACCAGAAATCTCTCAAAAGAAAAGCTTCTGTTGACGAACCTTGATCTGCCGCTTCATGGTGATGCAGAACAGCATGATGAAATACATTACGAGGATGGGCCAGAACACCGGAACGTCAAAGGCGTCGAAGAATGTGCAAATCATAGCGATGACGATGCCCTTTGTCGCTGAATGCCTGAAACGTCAACCAAAAAAAAAAAAATAAACATTTAAACTGAATCACTTGGATGGAATATAATAATAAATTAATCAAATATGCAAAAAAACAACTTTACTGTGAACTTATTGTAACATTGAAAACAATAAAATTGAACAATATATGGTGGACAACTGATATATTAGCAAATCACAATAAATCTGCAGACGTTTGGTATTGTTCTCCTGTTTTGCCGATTTGTGTTGGAAGCAAAACCTATCCCAGCACAGATGCTCATGAGATTTAAAGGTGCAGTAAGTGCTGATATATTTAAAGGGTACATATCATGCTTTTAAATCATTCATTTTTACATATAAATCATACCGTTGTGGTCTATGCAAGGCAAGGCAAGGCAAGGCAAGGCAAGTTTATTTATATAGCACATTTCATACACAGTGGCAATTCAAAGTGCTTTACATGGAAGAAATTAAATAATATAAAAATAAACATAAAACATAACTGCAATGCTTGGGTCTGAATTCCTCATTATTATAGCTCCACAAGCCCCTTTTCTACCCCTTTTCTGATGTGCTTCTTTGAGCGACCCGTTTCAATGCGTCCCCTTTAAATAAAAAGGAGATGCGTCATACCCCGCCCACTCTCCAGGTCGATGAGTTCACGGTCAGTTCAACTCCCCGCGTTCGGCCATTATTGTAGTTTGATTAGAGATATACGATTATATACGATACCTTCAAAGAACATTTTTATTCACACGTTAATAAAATGTCAACAACAGAAGACTTGTCCATCAAGCCTTACATATTCGAGCCAGAGCGAGCGAGTTGATAAAGACGACGACGAACCTGCAGAACAACCTCTTCATGTATTGGTATGCGAGTTAACTGTTGTGTTATTAGTGAAAGTCGACTATTTCTCTTGTTAAAACAAGCACACTGACAAGATAAATGACTACGGTCTAATCTTACCACAAACAATCTGTATTGATAATATGATACGTTTAGAAAAGCATCAGAAAAGCAGCTAAATGACCATTGATGAAACTCAAGAACAATAATACTGCAGACGTGTAGCTAACGTTACTTCAAAACAAAAACAAAGAAAGACAAAGGTACTGCTAAACCATGACCACCATGTGTTTTAAGAAAGTAAAGTACTTTATTTTTATTAACGATATTTACAGCTTATGCTCTGTTCGTCGTCTCCAAAGATAGAAGGAATTTAACGTTACCTCTCATTCAGACGAAGTCAATCGGCAAACCCTTCTGTATAACGTTACTGGCGGAGGTTGTTGAAGTGGGAATCCTTGAAGTGCTTCAGGTCACTAACGTACATCCAAAAACCGAACATTTTTACTTGCCCTCTCGTAACTTCTGCATCATTGAGCTCGGACTACAAAATCGGAGCGAGAAATAATAATGGCGGATTGCTCGAAGTTTTGGACCGGTAGTCAATGTCTTTATTTGGCAGTTCCGCTGCAAATACGTGACGCTGTAGTTCAAAAAACGTCATAGAAAACAGAAAAATCTGAACCGGTTGAAAAATATGACCAAAACAGAATATAAAGATATAAATGAAGCACCTGAAGAGAATAATTTCATCTTTTCTGTACTTATAAACAATCCAAATATACAACAAAATGCATTTAAAGCCACACTATGTAATTTTTCTGCTTTAAAAATAGCAAAAATAACTGTATCTATGTTATATATTTCTATTAGATGTGTACTTACATTATCCCGACAGTTTCCACCAACTTTCAAATACGGAGAAACTTATAGTTTAATTCGAAGACACGGGACGTTTCTTTATTTCCGTTTCGTCGCCCGTGTATGGCGTCATATAACCTTTGACTCCTCTATTTTCTCTAACTTCCTTGCGGAACCAGACGAAACCGCCAAACACAAAGGGGAACACTGGACTACCGCCAATAAAGCAAAGAAAATGACGAAGAAAAAAAAGTAGTACGTATTTTTATGTGTGTAAATCACGTGCCCGCTCACGAGCGCTCACTCTTAACAGACACACTGTCCCCGGTGCTGCTCACGCATAAAGCGCTCCCCGTTCACAGTAACCGTGTCGTCTCATTCAAAACAGCCAACTGTTGCTGTTAGCGAGCCGCGCACATTGAATACTCATTATGAGTCAGGCTGCGAATGTACGTGCCCGCTTCAGCGCGCTCATGCTTACTAAATAAACGCCTCGCCTCCGGCGCCACGCACTCACTACATTCTCTTTAGCCTTTAGCACATAGTGGATGCATAACGCAAACCCAGTCAAACGTTTGACTGCAGTATCTTATGAGCTTTATAATCCGGTGCGCCCTATATATGAAAAATGTTCTAAAATAGGTCATTCATTGAAGGAGCATAATATAAATATTTATATTCGTCTGTATTGTTGTTATGGACCACGATTACGCTTTGCCTGCACGTTCTGCTGCTACAGCCAGCTCATTAGCTAAAGCTCAAACGTACGGGTGAAAAATATAACCCGAGAAGGGTTTGGGACAGGAGAAGCATGACACAGGTAAACATTGGCGTTGCATTTAAAGCTTCTTGACAAGCTAAATCTACAGAGAGATGCCGTATATCCGTATATTTTGTGAAACGATGATGTCATGTCATGAGCTGAGCTGGTTGTCATTGACAGCGACAGCAACTCCCGTGAGCCCACGCTCTTTCCCGACGTCATCAAAGTACGTCTTTTGTTATTATTTTAAACGAGTGACCCCTGGTGGCCAAAAATCGCATACTGTACGTTTAAGGGCTAAAAAAGTGGATTTTGCATGATATGTCCCCTTTAAAGGTTCTGTTGTAGAGGTACTTGTAGCCAGTCAGCAGAAGGGGGCGTGTCCACTCATGATTGGAGGGGAGAGCGAGCAAGAGGGAGATTTGAAGAAAGACTAGAAAGACAGATGGCTGAGAGACATTACAAAATAAAACAAAGGATTATGATCAGGCAAGAGCTTTAGGAGCCACGTTTATATTAGAAAAACTTTCCAGCATTAGAGAGAGACCAAAGCAGGAAGGCCTGAAATCGGATGCTGAGGTTTTGTCGTTTCTGCTTCATGCGAGTAACATGCTTTTGCTGTTTCACAGAACCAAAATATGCCGTTGTTGTAATGCTAGCTTTAGTAACAGGTCAGTTCTGAGTGTCATTGTTTGCCTAGATCTGTGTGTTGCTGTCAACTAACAAACTCTTGCTTGCATACTCTTGTCAGTGTTTCCCCTACAATGTATTCAGCAGTGGCACAGCGCTGCAAAATCTTCACATGATCAGTACTAACACGAATTGAATGAATTATGCATTCATAATTAAATTTCTTAAGTAGCTTTAAAAATGATAACATGTACAGCCTTACTTTTTATTCATACTAATTTTGTGACATTACGTATTATACACAATTACATTTTTATCACTGGATTCTGCTAGTGGAAATAATTGGGCTTTATTTCTGGTAATTTCTGTATGTCACTGGATCAAGACAAAAAATATTCTCTGGAGAAAACTGCACTCATCAAGCCATTCCATGGGCTCTTGAAATGCGACAACTCACCAGAATTTGAACTCTGGCAACCTCCTAATGAATGGCCGGAACTCTTCATTCTGTTTTGTGGGTAGTGCTGGACCCTCATCTAGTGAAGGGAGATATTGATTAAAAAAAATAATAATAATAAAAAAAAAAATTCACCTCAGCGAAGCAAACATCACTGATGATAAGAAGATCATTTGAAAAGCATGTCTTACCTGGATCATCAAGCAATGAGGGATCCACTTTTGGTGAGAGGAAAGCAATGAAGAGGTTAAGGTGGTAGATCCCGAGAGCATATGTGACTATGTACCAGCCCTAATAAAAGACAAATGATTCAGTGCATTTGATTGTTTTGTGATGAAAAATGCAACAGTTACTCATATCAAATTACACAACAAGAACATTATGATAAGTCTACAATTGCATAATAACTCTTCCCTCATTGTCAAAACATAAATGAAATAGATAAAATTGAAGTATTTTGCAAACATTCCTAAACAGATGGCGTTGTTTTTACCTGTAGAATATATACTCTGATCATATATATGGCTGTTAGAAGAAGAGTAGCTGCCCATCGGAATGCTGAGAACGGTGTTGACTTGTCCAACCATGACTGATAAATCTGCATTTAAAAGAGAAAAAGTAGTTCTCATTATCCAACAACACTCACTATGGGTGGACGATATACCAGTAGACATGATTAACAGGTTGAGATGATTCTGGACTATTGACTCAATTGCAGTTACACTCATGTGACGCTGCTGTAATGCATGGTTAGCTTCTAGTTTTTTTAATCAGTTCATTCTTGTTACGCAGCACGTTTGAGTTGACAAGAACCAATGAGGTTCATTATCGGGTGTTACGCAGCATGTTTGAGCTTCCACAAGAACCAATGAGGTTCATTTTTGTGTTACGCAGCACGTTTGAACTTCCTCAAGAACCAATGAGGATCATTCTCATGTTATGCAGCACGTTTGAACTTCCTCAAGAACCAATGAGGTTCATTCTCTTGTTATGCAGCAGGTTTCAGCTTACACAAGAACCAATGAGGATCATTATCGTGTTACGCAGCACGTTTGAACTTCACCAAGAACCAATGTGGATCATTCTCGTGTTACGCAGCATGTTTGAGCTTCCACAAGAACCAATGAGGTTCATTTTTGTGTTACGCAGCACGTTTGAACTTCCTCAAGAACCAATGAGGTTCATTCTCGTGTTATGCAGCACGTTTGAACTTCCTCAAGAACCAATGAGGTTCATTCTCATGTTATGCAGCACGTTTGAGCTTCCTCAAGAACCAATGATGTTAATTTTCGTGTTACGCAGCACGTTTGAACTTCCTCAAGAACCAATGAGGTTCATTCTCATGTTACGCAACACGTTTCAGCTTCCACAACAACCAACAAGGTTCATTCTCGTGTTATGCAGCACGTTTGAGCTTCCACAAGAACCAATGAGTTTCATTCTTGTGTTACGCAGCACGTTTTAGCTTCCTCAAGAACCAATGTGGATCATACTCATGTTACGCAGCACGTTTGAGCTTCCACAAGAACCAATGAAGTTCATTTCTGTGTTACGCAGCACGTTTGAGCTTCCACAAGAACCAATGAGGTTCATTCTCGTGTTACGCAGCACGTTTGAGCTTCCACAAGAACCAATGAGGTTCATTCTCGTGTTACGCAGCAAGTTTCAGCTTCCACAAGAACCAACGAGGTTCATTCTCGTGTTACGCAGCACGTTTGAACTTCCTCAAGAACCAATGAGGTTCATTCTCGTGTTACGCAGCACGTTTGAACTTCCTCAAGAACCAATGAGGTTCATTCTCGTGTTACGCAGCACGTTTGAGCTTCCTCAAGAACCAATGAGGTTCATTCTCATGTTACGCAGCACGTTTGAGCTTCCACAAGAACCAATGTGGATCATTCTCGTGTTACGCAGCAAGTTTGAGCTTCCACAAGAACCAATGAGGTTCATTTTCATGTTACGCGGCACGTTTGAACTTCCTCAAGAACCAATGAGGTTCATTCTCGTGTTACGCAGCACGCTTGAGCTTCCTCAAGAACCAAAGAGGTTCATTCTCGTGTTACGCAGCACGTTTAAGCTTCCTCAAGAACCAATGAGGTTCATTCTCGTGTTACGCAACACGTTTGAACTTCCTTAAGAACCAATGAGGTTCGTTCTTGTGTTACGCAGCACGTTTCAGCTTCCACAAGAACCAACGAGGTTCATTTTCGTGTTACGCAGCACATTTGAACTTCCTTAAAAACCAATGAGGTTCGTTCGTGTTATGGAGCACGTTTGAGCTTCTTCAAGAACCAATGAGGTTCATTCTCATGTTACGTGGTACGTTTGAACTTCCTCAAGAACCAATGAGTTTCATTCTCGTGTTACGCAGCACGCTTGAGCTTCCTCAAGAACCAAAGAGGTTCATTCTCGTGTTACGCAGCACGTTTAAGCTTCCTCAAGAACCAATGAGGTTCATTCTCGTGTTACGCAACACGTTTGAACTTCCTTAAGAACCAATGAGGTTCGTTCTTGTGTTACGCAGCACGTTTCAGCTTCCACAAGAACCAACGAGGTTCATTTTCGTGTTACGCAGCACATTTGAACTTCCTTAAAAACCAATGAGGTTCGTTCGTGTTATGGAGCACGTTTGAGCTTCTTCAAGAACCAATGAGGTTCATTCTCATGTTATGCAGCACGTTTAAGCTTCCTCAAGAACCAATGTGGATCATACACATGTTACGCAGCAAGTTTGAGCTTCCACAAGAACCAATGAAGTTCATTTTCGTGTTACGCAGCACGTTTCAGCTTCCACAAGAACCAACGAGGTTCATTCTCGTGTTATGCAGCACGTTTGAGCTTCCTCAAGAACCAATGATGTTCATTTTCGTGTTACGCAGCACGTTTGAACTTCTTCAAGAACCAATGAGGTTCATTCTCGTGTTACGCAGCACGTTTGAACTTCAACAAGAACCAATGTGGATCAATCTCGTGTTACGCAGCACGTTTGAGCTTCCACAAGAACCAATGAGGTTCATTTTCATGTTAAGCGGCACGTTTGAACTTCCTCAAGAACCAATGAGGTTCATTCTCGTGTTATGCAGCACGTTTGAACTTCCTCAAGAACCAATGAGGTTCATTCTCATGTTATGCAGCACGTTTGAGCTTCCTCAAGAACCAATGATGTTCATTTTCGTGTTACGCAGCACGTTTGAACTAGGGATGCACCGAAATGAAAATTCTTGGCCGAAACCGAAAACCGAAAAAGAGGAAACCAAGGCCGAAAACCGAAAACCGAAACACCGAAAGAAATTATGCCAATTATTAGTATCATTGCATTTATGGCTATGACTGTGTACAAACTTAACTAAAATCAAGGCATTGCAATTGCATAAATTAATATAACATTTTCAAAGAATAAATCAATTACAAATTATGCAAATATATATTTAGCACAATGCACAGTATAAAATAAAATTCAAACTAAAATGTTTAACTTGACCCCACTTATGTGTACACTAAATAATAATCTACTGGCCTGCAGAAAGGTTTTAAAATGAAACGTTCTCTCAAAAACAAAGCCGAGCGCAAACTTCTCATCACATTAGCACCCAGTTTGCATGTCTAAATTAGTTACATTTTAAAAAATTTAGCATACAATATAAAAAGCCTTTACAATGGTCCATGTTTAATACAAATGTACATGAAACTTAATGAAACATTTTTAGTGAATGTAGAAAATATTTAAGAGAGCATTAATTTAGTTCTATACATGTTCCCATATACATATTTTTTTTGTAATGTCACAAGTAATGATCTCAGGGTTTACTGGGTTTTACATGATTATTTTTGTATTGGTGGTGGAATACTAAAAAATAAACATTGTCATGTATTTATCTGTCTTCTTCTCACCGATTCCTGATGGTTAGAGGACAGTTACTTGAGTCGCCCCCTGTCGTTTCAAGGAATAGTAACAGTTACAACGGAGAGCGCGTCAAGTATAAACGCCTCGACCGTTTGGAGCGGTGCACGCGCTGTTTGTGGAGACTCGCGCTGCCTTGTTTACTTTCGCCTGCCTCCGCAGCGCGAGTCTAATTTATAATTTTTAATTGTTTCCTGCTCTAAACAATGCGTGCCGCCATGACGACGACTCCGGTTCCGAGCGGGTCAAGAGCGGTGCACGCGCTGTCTGTGGAGACTCGCGCTGCCTTGTTTATACTTTCGCCTGCCTCCGCAGCGCGTGTCTCCACAGACAGCGCGCGCACCGCTCTTGACCCGCTCGGAACCGGAGTCGTCGTCATGGCGGCACGCATTGTTTATAGGTGGAAAAACCAAGGTTTCCGTCTCTCACTCCATCTCGGGATTAGATACACTGAAATACGTCCACACCGCAGACATGTTGCTTCAGACAAGCACGTGCAGGTCGCGGTTTCTGTTTGCGTCATCACAACATTTCGGCCGTATTGTTTCGGTGATAAAAGTCTTTCGGCCGAAAACCGAAAATGCACTTTTGGGCCATTTTCGGCCGAAAATTTTCGGCGGCCGAATATTCGGTGCATCCCTAGTTTGAACTTCAACAAGAACCAATGTGGATCATTCTCGTGTTACGCAGCACGTTTGAGCTTCCACAAGAACCAATGAGGTTCATTCTCATGTTACGTGGTACGTTTGAACTTCCTCAAGAACCAATGAGTTTCATTCTCGTGTTATGCAGCACGTTTGTACTTCAACAAGAACCAATGTGGATCATTCTCGTGTTACGCAGCACGTTTGAGCTTCCACAAGAAACAATAAGTTTCATTCTCGTGTTACGCAGCACGTTTGAGCTTCCTCAAGAACCAATGAGGTTCATTCTCATGTTACGCAGCACGTTTGAGCTTCCACAAGAACCAATGAGTTTCATTCTTGTGTTACGCAGCACGCTTGAGCTTCCTCAAGAACCAAAGAGGTTCATTCTCGTGTTACGCAGCACGTTTAAGCTTCCTCAAGAACCAAAGAGGTTCATTCTCGTGTTACGCAGCACGTTTAAGCTTCATCAAGAACCAATGAGGTTAATTCTCCTGTTACGCAACACGTTTGAACTTCCTTAAGAACCAATGAGGTTCGTTCTTGTGTTACGCAGCACTTTTCAGCTTCCACAAGAACCAACGAGGTTCATTTTAGTGTTACGCAGCACATTTGAACTTCCTTAAAAACCAATGAGGTTCATTTTCGTGTTACGCAGCACGTTTGAGCTTCCTCAAGAACCAGTGAGGTTCATTTTTGTTTTACGCAGCACGTTTGAGCTTCCACAAGAACCAATGAGGTTCATTCTCGTGTTATGCAGCACGTTTGAACTTCCTCAAGAACCATTAAGGTTCATTCTCGTGTTACGCAGCCCGTTTGAACTTCTTTAAGAACCAATGAGGTTAATTCTTGTGTTATGCAGCACGTTTGAACTTCCTCAAGAACCAATGAGGTTCATTCTCGTGTTACGCAGCACCTTTGAGCTTCCTCAAGAACCAATGAGGTTCATTCTCGTGTTACGCAGCACGTTTGAGCTTCCACAAGAACCAACGAGGTTCATTCTCGTGTTATGCAGCACGTTTGAACTTCCTCAAGAACCAATGAGGTTCATTCTCGTGTTACGCAGCCCGTTTGCACTTTCTTAAGAACCAATGAGGTTCATTCTCGTGTTACGCAGCCCGTTTGAACTTCCTTTAGAACCCATGATGTTAATTCTTGTGTTATGCAGCACGTTTGAACTTGCTAAAGAACCAATGAGGTTCATTTTCGTGTTACGCAGCACATTTGAACTTCCTTAAGAACCAATGAGGTTCATTCGTGTTACGGAGCACGTTTGAGCTTCCACAAGAACCAACAAGGTTCATTCTCTTTTTACGCAGCACGTTTGAGCTTCCTCAAGAACCAATGAGGTTCATTTTCGTGTTGCGCAGCACGTTTGAACTTCCACAAGAACCAATGAGGTTCATTCTCATGTTACGCAGCACGTTTGAACTTCCTCAAGGACAAATGAGGTTCATTCTCGTGTAATGCAGCCCGTTTGAACTTCCTTAAGAACCAATGAGGTTCATTCTCGTGTTACGCAGCACGTTTCAGCTTCCAAAAGAACCAGCGAGGTTCATTCTCATGTTACGCAGCCAGAGTATGTGAGCGCAGTGGAGTGGGAGCGGAGCGGCATGATTTTGAATGGAGCGCGGAGCGGATTTTTTAAAAGTAGGAGCGTCGTGGTTTTCACTCGCTCCGAGCGCGCTCCACTACCGCTCCATCACGAGGACAATTCATGCCAACGGCTCCTAGAACTGCATCTTTTGTAAGGATTCACGTGTTAAACACATTACGCTAGCATGATACAGATGGATCACTCAAATCATAAAAAAATGTGAAGGTTATGATGACGCCGATGGACATGAATGGCTGCGGGAGGTTATAGTTATCAAGCCTGTACTGAATATGATCGGGCACCACGGACGCATGAATGTGCGAATCTATTTATTTCTCGTGCCAATTATATGCCAAAAAAAATGTTTTTGTGTGCAAATGAAGCACACTAAATCCCTTGGTTAGGATGGGTGTGAAGTGCATTCTTGCCAAGTGCGTATCGTAGGCTATGCACACGAGAAATAAAATATGTGTTATAGATAGCCTACACACTTTCATGAGATCGGGCTGGATCGGGTGAAACACATTTTAAACAGGTAACATTCACCAACGCAATCGATTTCTCACTAATGCATTGCATTCAAACAAATGTAAATCATACAGTAGACTATCTGTCAGTATTTGCTTTTAAATAAGCATGAATCTGTAAGAAATGTAGCGACCCGACCCGTAAATAAATAACTGATGAAAACGTAGTTATTTTCTTCTTTACAAACAAAATGTGCTCTGCAAAAAGCAGCAATGTTATTTAATTTATAATGTTGATAACCTGTAATAAGCATAGCATGTCATAGGAAAAGTTTGCACACTATCCAAATCCAATAAACAACATTGCAACTATTCTCCTAACGTTGTTTTTTATTATTTTGTTATTTAATATGCCTATATATGTACCTATTATTATGAGGAGACATTTTGTGAGATTTTAAAGCATACTTAAACTACTTTATTCGGAATTTCCTTGGGGAGCGAACACGGAGCGGTGTTATGATATCAGTGAGCGAGGAGTGGAGCGGGAGCGGCAAATGGTGAACCCGGAGCGGAGCTGGAGCGGAGTGATTATATAATGCTTGGAGCGTGGAGGGGAAATTGTTGCCTCTCCACTCCGCTCACATACTCTGTACGCAGCACGTTTCAGCTTCCACAAGAACCAACGAGGTTTGTTCTCGTGTTACGCAGCACGTTTGAGCTTCGTCAAGAACCAATGAGGTTCATTCTCGTGTTACGCAGCACGTTTGAGCTTCCACAAGAACCAATGAGGTTCATTATCGCATGGTCCGCAGCACGTTTGAGCTTCAGCAAGAACCAGTGAGGTTCATTATCGCTCAATTCATATGGATTAGTTTTACGGTCTCTTTAAAAAGCTCTTGAAGCATCAAAATGTCAGTTGCGTAGCTTTCAATGGAGGGACAGATACCACTCTGATTTCATAAAAGAAAAACTTAATTTGTGTTACGAAGATGAGCGAAAGTCTTACGGGTTGAGTCTTTACTCAACATGAGGTTGAGTAAACAATGACAATTTTCATTTTTGGGTGAACTCTCTCTTTAACATTACGGGCTGGAGCACAGTTACGTCATTACGATGGACCCATCCGCTTAAAAGAAAACAAGAAGAAAATCGCTTTCATTAATAGACTGTAATAGATTTATTACTTATGCAGAGATTTTCACTTAACTGTACTGCACACATCAAAAGAATTTTTAGGGAGGTAGCTGACGTTGATAGAGGAATTTACAGCTTTACTCGCAAACTACAATTCCTGTTCATCAATAAAGTGAGAAACAGACACGTTATATATACTCAAATTAATTTAAGTGTACAATCCAAATAGAAGTAATAGAAGTTTGGTAACGATGACAATAGCGTACACAAAAGCAGTCGCTGCTCCGGCACGGTTAGTGATCACAATGCATGCGTACCGCACTCAAGCCCAATCGACCCGCGCCCAAGCCCACCACATCAAGCAGGCCTGGGCATGGCGCGGCATACACATCACCCAGCAATCACACTAGTCAAACCAACCAGACTCTGGCACACATAAAACCATGCAAGTACTGCAATTTAGCGGTGTAATTGGGCTTGAATGTAAATACACATACTTGTGTGTCAAAATGCCCATCTTTGATATTATCATCAAACACAATCATTTATGTCTTAAGTGAAAGTAAACGGTTGAGAAAGAAAACTCATCTGTAACAGTATATTGGATCTAATGTAAAAGGAAGCCTAATATACCTGCTGACGTCTGTGTAGTTAATACTAATCAAACAACAGAAATCATTTCTCTTGACTGAATCATAGAGAAGACTATGCAGTGTTTTTTTATACATTTGATAACACAATTTATATAGTATTTTTTATTTCTAGTGCATGAAATTTTTCAGGTATGCAGTGTTTCCTCTAGGATTTTTCCAAGCTGTGGTGGCAGGCCCATTGCCCCAGGGGGAGGGGGCGTGGCCCACGAATGATATTTCCTTAGGCCACGCCCCCTTGTCTCCCCTAATTATTATAATATGAAAGGCTCCACTATGAGCAGCAAAGCAATCATGCACATCTCATGTGCAGAATGATGCACTTGAAGCAATGCGAAGTCACAGCGCGCAACACTTCACATTGAAAAGTTCATAGCACGTAGCGAAGGGATTATATCTATCTATGCTTAGTAGGGCTGCATGATTTGGGGAAAATGTCATATTGCGATTATTGAGGTCAATATTGCAATTGCGATAGCAATATAATAAACAAATGGCTACAAAAGTTCTTTAGGCAAGAGCAGTGAGTAATTTTCTTTGTACCCTTTGTTCTTTGATTAACTTTATTAACAGAACGCTTTATTATGCTGGCCCTTTAAGAGCAGCCTTTGTTGAGACGCGCATCTCACACGCGCTTCATTCACAAGCACAACTCTTTTCGTCCATAAGATTTTTCTTATGTTATGAAGATACTCGACAAAACGACATTTTGGCATAATTGTGTGTGTTATTGTCTGTTCAAGCTCGAAAGAGAACTGCATTCTGGCACGCGGTCTGTGTATGCATTATAATGTACGCATTATTCTGGCGCGCGTCTTTCTGCAAGTCACATTCAGGACATTCACAGCACGCTCTCTTTTGACTTCTTGTCATGCAAAATGCAAAAAGGTATTTTCACGAATAAGAGCGGGATCATGTACACTAGTCAAAGGATGACAAAAAAGAATAGATAGCCTACTGCGTTAATAGCCCTAATTTGTTTATTTCATGTAAAATCGCGGCATTTTGCATTATATAATCCCATAGGTTTGACATCGCTATTATTATTGCGATATGATTAATCGTGCAGCACTAATGCTTAATGTATTCTATAGATGCAACAGTTTTTTTTAGCCTTTTCTTTTAACAGTTTTAACTTTGAGTAACAGTGCGCATGAAGAACAATTCATAGCATTCTCGACTCCCGCGCTGCCTAATCTAACAGACACCCGGGAGAAAGGAATATGATTTAGAAAGGGGAGGGCAATAAACTCCAGCAAGATAAAGTCATTTTATGCAAACCATAGACCTTTATGCTTTATCTACAAATAAAGTATAATAATAGTAACATTGATCCTTAAGAGAGTGTCGTCGTGCACGACGCGCTGTTTGAATGCCGAATGGAGAATGACTGAGGAGGAGAGATGACTTTCCATTGCCTTTAACTTAACGACTAAAATATTCATTTTACCACACATTATGCTATTGAATGACTTTAGAAGTCTTGGAATATAGTGCAAAAACTTGATTGTGCTTTACAAAGTTTTTTTATGCCTTTAGTGGGGCTTAACAAATTAACACAATATGCAGAAAATCTGGCCTCACTGAGAAGCTGCAGCCGTGGCGGTAAGATTTTAGGTGTGGCGGCCCGCCACAGCGGAATGAATGTAGCGGAAACACTGGGTATGTCTTTTTAATTCGAGTCTTTGTTCTATTTTAGTTTATTGTCCTCTTGCTTTCAATTAATTTCTTTGGTGAAAATTATCGATAGTTACATTTTTTGTTATGTAAAAACTATTTAAATGCAAAAATCGTGATCAATATCGTTATCATGAAATAAAATCGTGATATAAGATCTTGGTCATATCGCCCACACCTAACACTGTTACAATCTTAAAATTGCTTAAATAGTTAGATAGTGGCATTTCCAAGAGCCTCACCTGCCCGAGCCGTTTAAAGAAGTTTCCGATCGCTGATGGTTTCCCATGGATGGATTCACCAGCACTGTCTCCTTCTGGCATTCTGTCTGTGAATGAGGGGTAACATAATGAGGGTACAGCGACAAAAAAAGGATTATTTTTGCATCGAAAGTAAACGACCCAGAAACAACACAATATGGAGAATTACAATCTGATGCACTCATTTCTAAGTTTAAGCAAATTTAGAGTGACTAAATTGAGCCTTAATTTAACCTAATAAAAATGCGATGTGAAAAGTTCTCATTTTGTTTTATCATTATTATTTTCTAATTTCCCCTGATTAAAAAGTCCTAAAATAGCTTTTTTAAAGCAATCCCTTCTTTTATTATAGATTCCTATAAATCCAATTGAGAGACCATATAAAACCCAACCAAAAAATGATCCTACTGGAAAATCTGACATTCATTTAGGATATTGTATACTTATCTAATTTTTTTACAGCCCTATTGCATTGTGTATGGTTTACTATATCTCTTCTGAATTTTCAAAAAGATTCACATAAAAAGATAAAACAACTGAGAAATAATATGAAAAAAGGAAGTAAACCCTATAAAAGTAAAATAAAAAAGTGAGATTTTTTTTTTTTTGTTACTCTTTTGTATTTATTTATTTTTTTGTTTGGCACCGTGAGGACAGTCAGCTGTTCTTCCTGTCTCCCTGCAACACTGTCTTAGACATCTTAAATTACGGATAGTGCAGTTTATTGCTCTGTTATTTATATATATATATATATATATATATATATATATATATATGTGTGTGTGTATATATATATATATAATGTTTATATACAATTTTTCGCTAGACAAGACCCTTACTCCTTGGCTGGGGTCATGTAGAGCCCTCTGAAGCCGCACTGAAATTGTAATTTGGGCCTTCAAAAGTCCACTTTATGGAGAAATATAATATAAGAAATATAAACATGAATATCTTGAGTGACATGGGCTGGGGTGAATAAATTATCAGCAAATTTTAATTCTGAAGTGAACTAACTAACTAACTAACTAACAAGTACATGTGCAATAATTGTTTACGGTTCATTGAACAAGCATGAAAAACACTGTTCAAACACTTTCAAATAAAGATATGTAAAGCTTTGACAATGTTCATTAATATACTGTATTATAATACCCGCCTTCCAGAAATCCCAATAGGAATCTTTTGATATCTTTTTTTTTTTCTTTCTCTGGATCACCTGATTTACTCTGTACTGGCTGAATGACATTTCACAGGCGAGGATATGGGTGGTGTTGTATTACGTTAAAGTTCGTAGGTTTTAAAATCTAAATTACTGTTGACTAAATCATCTATCTTGCAGATCAGTGCATTTCCCCGTTTCAGTCAAAAATAATATACGATTCACTCACAGTCACGAGCGCGTTTAAAGGAATTGATTTCCTGGTCGTAAAACAGGGGAAGCCTCCGAGTGATGATGATAACCTACAGATGTAATCTGAGGCAAAGTCCAAAAAACACCACGTCAATGAACAAGAGGTTCTTCGAGGAAAATAATCAACCTAAATCAAGATCACCTTTAGTATAACGGCGCATAAAATGAATGGTTTGGTGTCTATGCTAAAGGTAAAAGCAGCTAATTCCCTCATCTTTTAGTCACTGCTGTCGGCTACAGTGGAATCGAATGCCTCATTGTAGTGAATACTAACATGTGTATTTATTTGCTAAATAAACTGTGCCAGAGCAGAACCTGCGATTCTTGATCCAGATACGTCTAGCATATTTCCTGACATCTGAACCTAACAGGACAGTGCATGCAAATGAACACTAGCTAGAGTTCCGGTAACGTTACAGATTTGTTCTCTGTCTGTTGTCATCAGCTAACCAGTGCGACAGATACTTACCTCAATGTTTATTTCATAAACTCACTGTTAATGTAACCACCTAACTAGAAGGCTAGTGGTCAGACCTTGAACGCTAATTTGCTATTTAGCATCGGTTTGTTAGCCATAGCTGATTCCTTTAAGACGTAAAGCATGCTGGTTAGTGTAGTTTCTAAAATAGATCTTCTGCGTTTGACGCAAAAGATGGACGGCGACTTATAAACTACACTTCCCATTCTACTGCACAACAAGGCGGAAACGCACGGGTTGTAGTTTTCGGTTTCGACTTTGTAATTGAAACTACCTTTGGAAGGTATCGAGAATTAACTACAAAGACCAGCAGACACGCATAAAAGTGGACAACTCACTTCCGGGGAAATCCGAACGCAGGCGAGTGGTAAACTTTGCTAGCACTGCCTTTTACTGATTCTTATAGAAAATCTAATTTTACAATTGTCATGCCACTTGAGTGAAAATAAAATCAGGCGGACAGTTATCTTATTCGTGGGGTCGGATCACCTGTCAGAGGTTTATAACAGGAGTGAGATGACAGGAAATCTGTTTCTCTTACCCGGTTGTGCCGCTGTGTCACTCTCGGCTGCCGATCCGCGCGTCGCGCTGCTTCTCTGTGAACACGTCAGTGCTTCTGTAGACTCAGCCAAGTCAGACCGCAGTAGCCGAGCGCAGACAACATCGCTCCCTGTTTAACATCAGCCGAGCGTAGATAACATCGATCCCTGTTCACCAGATTCAAACCCATGTCCAAACCTCTTTTACTGTCTATGGTCAAATTTGCTGTGGTCCAAACCAGAGCCATATATTAAGAGAGTTACGACACGCTTTGATGTCGCCGCAAGGCTGTCACGTGGTTCATGGAAGCCCCAATAGTTCCAAAACATACGCGGGCTGTCATGTTCTTCAATGGACAGATAGCAGCGATTGCATTATTAAACGGTAAATATAAAATAAAACACACACCAAAGTACTTTTTTAAGCTTTTATTGCATTTGGTTAATGTCAGTGCTGCATTTTGAGAGGCAGGGTGTCAACTTAGATACGTTTTTAGGCTATATTTTTGGAGGGAAAAGCCTGTGTTCATGTTCGCATTGGTAGTTGCACTGGCTTTAGCGGCTGTAACTTAACTTTTCCATGTCATTCATCTGATAATGGACGTCTCATGATATTTATTTTAGCACAACTGGGCTTTATTAGGTTATACGCCTTATTCACGGCAGCGCCATCTTTGATTTTTAATGAGAATGAAAGCGAGGCTGTGAGGGATAGACTTGCATCTCTTCAATGGGCTGTACTGTTATTTAATGTGTTTTCGGATTGTTCTGTTCATGAAACACTGGATAAATATCTTTTCAAGAAATGTCAGTTGACAAAAAACTCCCGACAATGTAAGCTGTGGAAAATTGTAAGTAATCTAGCCGCTTTATTCAGCTTTTTACAGCTGATGCCATTGGAAACACGGTAAGTCTATCCCTCACAGCCTCACTTTCATACCTGTCATGGCGCTGCTCTGAATAAGGCCTATTGATTCCCGTGATCCGATTACAAATTCCGATTCAGCCATTCAGCCTTCATCCTACCCTAATCATAGACTAAACCATTCATCAGAAAACACACACAATACATTTATACGAATTTATACGCCTACACGTTTCAATCACACATAATAACTAACCCTACCCCCCCCCCATATATATATATATATATATATATGCATGTGAATTTATGTATGCCTATACATTACACAAACACATGCATAACCCTAAACCATTTAAATAAATTGTGTGTGTATGTATATCTAATATTATATATATATATATATATATATATATATATATATACAGGAAAGCATGAAATTTGGTTACATAAAAAGAATCCAAAACCACACTCCCCTTGTTAAATTATTCGGCCGGTTGTGTCCAATAAAGGAACAGAACTGGGACTGATGTATTCAAATATAGACTTTATTAAACACGAAAGGCAACAATGTGTTGTTTGGCAATCGAGAACAGCAAATGTTCCTGTAGGCAGCAATAGACTATTTACAATAAATAATCACAGTGAATAAAAGTATCATAATACATAAATATTAAGTGAATAAATAGATACTACACACATGCACTTCAACACTGCAATACACTTCACACTAGTGAAAATTGCAGACTGAACCCTGTCCCCACAGGAAATATTGCACACTGCCCAGAGGCCTATTATGATAATATAAATATAGCAAACAAACAGATACAACAACACAGTCAACTTAGCAGGATATCATAGCCGTCTTCACGTGACAATGGTGGCAGATTTTTTTTTCTTCACACACACATACATTTACAGGAATGCAAATAAACCAAATTATCTCAGGAAAAACAGTGACTAGTTGGACAGACGAAGACAATCCTCATTTTCCCGAACCCCTAGACAAATTGGTACGGTCTGCACCGCACCAATGATGACTTACCGGTGTGGATTGCTAACGGCTGTGCGCACCCCCGCCAGCGTTGCTTATTGCTGCATCCCCGTATAGGAATTAATTATTGCTGTTATGCGATCTAACTTTCAGTAGACTCATGACCAGTGAATGATACACACAATTCCCATACGCACGCCCAGACGCCAGGCGGAGATTGCTGCACCCCCATATAACTCTCACTGTTATGCGATCGAAGTTTCAGTAGACTTGTGACCAGTGAATGATCCACACAGTTCCCATACGCACGCACAGACGTCAGGCCGAGGTTTTCCCGTTTGCACAGCTGATGCTCCAAGAAGCTTATTCTTCAATTCACGCCACACTAATGTTCTATCCATTTCTCACAACACATTTAAAGGGACGCGTCACTTGTGCCACCTGCTCATAATCAGCGGCAGTGGGCGGGGCTTCACACTACACTTCTTATCTCAACCACCCTACCTGCTACATTCACCCACCCCGAAATGTCACTGTCTCGGTGACAGGTGGCAACAAATGATACAACGAATCCTGTTGCCCAGAAGTTGAAGGCAGCTGATCACCAGCTGCGGTAGGAACATAACTGATCTGCCCATCCAGGTTAGAAATGTCTAGAGTTACCAATAGCGCAATATCATTTGCATTCGCGCTGCTGTTCAACTCCTCCGATACCAGATAGGAACAGTCCAAATTGGGTTCTACATTCATGAATGCAAACTGAGGTAGACCGGGGTCCACAGAAAAGGGGCGCAACTCTTGTCGATGAATGTTCTTTTCTGGCCCCTTGGTCTGATTTTATAAAGGGTGCCAACCTCATCCAAACAACTCACCACTTCGTACTCTGCATGGTCCCAATGATCATGAATTTTATGACGACCAAGCGGATGACTCCGGCGGTACACTAGTGTTCCGGGTTGTAAAATGGGCAGAGGAATAGCTTGATGTTTTGCTCGCTGCCTGGCTGCAACCTCAAGATTGGTTCGGGCCTGCCGATAAACAGCAGGAAGATGTTCTTGATGTTCTCGAACCCACTCTTCTGTGGTCAATTCTGATGGAGGGTCGACTGTACCCAAGAGCAAATCAAGAGGGAGGGTGGGCTTCCGCCCAAACATTAGTTCATAAGGTGAAAACCCAGTGGACTGATGGACCGTCGTATTGTATGCAAACACACAAGACAAGTGTTGAGGCCACCTTTTCTTCTTTTATGGGGGCAAAGTACGGAGCAAATCACTGCGGCACCACCACCAGGGACATGGCGTTGCCAGTAAAGAACACCACCATGTTCCTGTATGTTGGCCCACTGACGCACAAGCTCTACCACCACCGGAGACTCTTTGGCCCTTTCCAATGCTGTGGGGGGTCTACCTCTTTTCCAATAAATTAGAAAGGCCTTCAGCACCGGATCATCTGACTGAAGGAGTTCGAGGTCAGCCCTAGTCCTTACTGGAGAGGCATCAATGGCCTGGATGTTAACCGGCCCGAGGGGATGGGTTACAAAAACACTTTTGAGATTCCTGATGCAACCTCTTCCATGGATTCTGGGGGAGGGAACGCAGGTAAGCGAGACAGAGCATTTGCATTTCTATTGCACGCACCTGGGCATTACTCAATTTTAAAATCGAAGAGAGCCAACTGTGCCGCCCAGCGTTGCTCTACTGCCCCCAATTTGGCCGTCTGCAAATAACAGAGGGGGTTATTATCAGTCAAAACTGTGAACTTTATGCCTAAAAGATAATCTCGAAATTTGTCTGTTACGGCCCACTTACTGTAAGGGCCAACAGCTCAAGCTTCATGGCAGAGTAATTGTTTATATTTCGTTCTGTTGGTCGCAACCCCCTATTCGCGTAAGCTACTGGCCGCCGCTGCCCCCCCACCCCCCTGCTCTTGGGACAAAACAGCACCCAGTCCAAGCCCACTTGCATCCACCTCGAGAACAAAAGGCTTGCTGAAGTCTACATAGCCCAAAACAGGTGCACTTATCAGCTTTTCTTTTAGTGTTTCAAAATACTTTTCACAGCCCCAGACCCAGTGGTCTCGCAAGGAGACATTAAACATTACTCGTTTCTTTGGAGCTGGCTGTAGTTTTGCTACCAACTTATGCAGAGGGGCTGCATATCTTGCAAACCCCTCTACAAAGCGCCTATAATATGACGCAAACCCAAGGAAAGAGTGCAATTCTGTGATGGTAGCTGGTACTTTCCAGTCCCTGACTGCACTAATTTTGTCCGGATCAGTTGCGACTCCAGAAGCCGAAATAATATGACCCAAAAACTTTACTTCAGACTGAAAGAAATTACACTTTCCCACACTTTCTAATCGTTCCAGATGTTGCTGGAACGTGGACAAAAATACCACCACATCGTCCAAATACAAAAGAAGGTTATGGAAGCGCTGGTCCCCAAAGATCCTTTCCATTAGCCTCTGGAAAGTTCCTGGTGCATTGCACAATCCAAATGGCATCCTTTGAAACTCAAAGAGACCAAATGGGGTGTAAATGCTGTTTTTGCCCCATCCTTTTTTGCCACAGGCACCTGATTATAACCACTTGCCAAATCAAGAGTAGAGAAAAGGCAAGCACCTGAAAGGGCATCCAAGGATTCCTCAGTCCGAGGCAATGGAAAGGCATCTTTTCTTGTCTTCACATTCAATTGTCA